AGATATTTTGATGGTTCTATATCGAGATTTCTCCAAAAATCAAGCATCAAGGTTTTTCGTTATGGAAGCTATTGGTAAGCGGCATTTCCAAAAAAGCACAGCAACTCTGGAATAGCAAAAATTTAGGGTGGACCTATAATTATGAAACGCAGTGTATGCCATACTTCAACACATAATAAAAAAAAACAGAAAAAAGCACAATTGGTTAAACATTGATGCTTGGACCACCTTCTTTACGAGTAACTTCAAAGATTCTATTTGGCATACTGTAGATTTTGAAAAACATTCTCTGGAATTGAGTTCCATGCACTTAGAATGGCTGCTCTCAGCGGAGATACACTGTCATACTGGGCCCCTCCGGCTAAGACCCTGCGCACCAAGATACCCCAGAGATTCTCCATGGGATTTAGGTCCGGGGAGCATGGAGGCCAGTCCAATACATCCACATGGTGATCCCCTAGCCACTCCAAAGTTGAACGCGAGACGTGTGCAGGAGCGTTATCCTGCTGGAAAACGAGTCTTTTTCGCCTATGATCGTGGAGGTAAGGAAGCAAACTGAATATCTATAGAATATCTTGATACTCTTGCAAATCCATGTGCGTGGAGATGAATTCCATATCCGACGTTTCATAGGAAGAGAAGGCCGCCCATACCATAACAGTTCCTCCGCCGAATACATGTTTCGATAAAATCCTAGGCTCCTTTCGTAGATCCCTCCAGTAATAAGCATGCCCGTCAGGACCATCCAGACTAAATTCTTTTAATCGGAAAAAATCACCTAAACCATGCAGGAGCTTAGCAATGCACTTTCTAAAATGTGTCAAAAACCTCACCTTTCTCCAGTTTCTTGAAAAATTTTTCTTGCAAACTCGAGTCGGGCTTCCCGATGGCTCCTGGTCAGACGAGGAACTGGCTTCATCCTCTCCCTTCTCAAGAATATATGACGACGATTAGCTCGCAATACTGTGGAAGTCGACACATTTAGTGAAAGTCGTGCACGAATCTGATTGGCACTCATGGTTGAATTCGAAGAAAATCTAGCGATCCGTCTGTGTTCGGCTCGTGTCAATTTGAGTGGACGTCCTCCTCCATGTGCTTGACCGTATGCCGTAGGATTCTTCACGAAACCCCGTTGATGCAGCGTCTGGATCGGCCGAGTTTTTCCGCGATGGCCTTGTTGGTATGGCCTGCTTGACGAAGAGATAGAATTTGGTTTGTTCTGTTGAAGATAGACGACGACCCTCAGGCATGGTGGACTGCTTTGGATGTCGCAATCCTGCCACATCCGTACAGAAGCGGTAGGGCTGCGCGGATTTGAGATATTTCGCAACAACGACGGCATAGCATAAGCAATTGACGTGGCTAATTTTCACTTTCAGAAAAAGGGCGCTACCGCAGCGTTCAAATATGTTTAGGCTTTGTTGAGACTCTTGTTCTTTCAGTAAGTGTTGGTCAACATTTCAGCTCGCTATGTTGCATAACAACTCAGATAAAAGAATAAATAGGGGATGGCAGATGCAATTGACGCGCACTGTAGTGGTTCTGGAGGCGACACCAACTTTTGAAGAATGGTCAGGGCCTGCTGTGCTACCCATCGAATATACCCATCCGAATAGTTTACGCTACATCACTCACTGATTTTTTTAAATACAGTGTGGCGAAGTATTACGTGCGCGTGACTTTTCGCTTCCTTCAAACATTGTATGAGGAAGTTCTGGGTGCTTTTTCTTTTCAACCTGTTTGTCTACTACTAACTACTTGTAAAAGAAGAAATTTGTTTTCTTTTTAATTTGTTCTGACGAAGACCTGCACAAGTTGGAATGCAATTGCGAGTCAAGCAAACAGCTGAACTAAGAATTATACGAATTCTTCGAGGCTTGTATTATAGTTTTCCTACAAACTGTCCGAAAAACTGAAAAGCAATGGGAAGAGGAAGACCATCTCTGAATTGAACCCGCTAGAGAATGAGAGCGCAACCTCCGATGTGTGAAGAGAATTCAGAAGAGGAATGACAAAAAAGATGACTTGAGTTTGAATAAGAGTGCCGAACAGAGCCAAGCTTTGAAAAAAATCTGTTCAGATTATAGCAGAAAAAAACGCGGAATGGGCGTCATCGTATATCAAACAGGCAGGTTCCCACCGTTTGAGCAAAGCAATATCGGGGAAAAACGAAAGCGTTGTGGGATTTTTTAGAGGTGCGACCGATCCAGGACGCCCAGAGGTTTCACAAATGAATGCTCATCGTTAACGTGACTGAAAGCTCTCGGAATCACCTTTAACCTTTTATAAAAGCTCTTTATAGCATCCGTAAATTTAAAATACCCGCAAGAATTTCGTTCCCTTGAAGGTTGATAATTCAAGGCTGGATCAGTGCTTCGGGCAGGCTTTAACAGGTTCTTGTCGTGAAATGCCTGCAATCAAGAGGAAGCTCTATCAAAATGGATTTTTGGTAAAGCTGTTGCCCTCCGGAAGCAGCATCATAACAATTCTATCGTTCTACAGTAATGGACTCGGGCTCATGAACCAATACAACGACAAAATTCTTCGGGACTAGTATCGGCTGTTTTGTGGAGATGGATTTGTGGTCTGCTTGCAGTATGAACAAGGATCCAGTAGACTTCTCTGTTTGGGCCACACTGAAGAACTACTCAAGAATCGAAATGCGAAAGTTTGATGATTCTGAAAAGAACTGCTTTCTGGAATGAAATATGCGTTGAACAACTCCGTCGCAACATCGACTCGCTGAAAAAACAACTAATTGAGGCCTGCATCAAAACTGATGGCAGCTACTCTAAGTCTTTTTTGTAATTATGAAATGTCATGGTTTGGTATTTTATGAAATTGATTACTTTCAAAATTTTGTGGATAAGAAATGAAGTTTGGACGTGTTTTATGGCACACATAATTTTTCGCCGCACTGTAGAACACATAATTTGAGCAAGTACTCAGTTTGGCTGTGTCTACCGAGCCTCACCTCTTGCACTCCCGAAATTTCATGGACTCGCAGTTTATGTGGGAAAATGAAATGACTGCCTTGTAGAGGAGACTGTACATTTTGAAAGGTATACAAAATGACTTAAACAAGATGACTTCAGAGAGTAAGTTTGGATTTGAAGAAAAACGACATCAGTTATGATCAACTAGCAAAAGAAGTGAGATCGAAAATGAAATCTCAAAGCAACGAGAAATAATTCATATATTGTTTAGTGAAATTTTTCTTACAGAATCCAACCTTGAGAATTTCTGCTGTGTTTCTACGTTTTCTGCCCATGATCGTTTTTTTCAGAAAATGTTGTCTATATGATATCCATGGCTGTGACCTTGTCAAGTACAGGGTGTCCCAAAATTACTTGCGCTAAATTTCAAAAATTTATTAAAAAGGTATGTCGATTATTTTCATTCCCCACGCTACTAATTAGTTGTGCAGGTGGGTCCTTTGGTGAACTGCATCGTTATTGGATCAAAGCTACCAGTATCTCTGAGATGGCAGAGGTGATCCAAGGTGACCTGCGATCATTCGCGTGCGCTAGGAAGAGGCCGCATCTTAAGACAGTGTTAAATTTCTTGATGTTCCTGTGAGCGCAGTAAAGATGGCCAGCAAACGATGCAGGAGAGTAAGAACACTCATTCGCAAACCTGGACAGGAAGAATGGTCAGCGTGTAGAATCATCGAAATGTTTGCTTAGCAATCCACCGTGCTCCATAAGAAGGATGGCGAGACCGCTGAATTTGTCGAAGTCATCATTAAAGGCAAACTCCGGGATTAAACAGGTGCTAGCAGCGCTTTATAGTGATATAGCTGCGGAACGACCTGAAAGTGAAAAGGAAAGCAAGAGAAATCCTTGGGAGCGCTGCAATTAAGGCCTTAACCTTCAATAGGGTCAGATGCGGTACGAGAAAGGGTGGTCAGAGAAGATAAAATGCGCGAGAGAGCACGTCGTTCGAGAGAGTATGCTGATCTCTCATCAATGCACGCTGATCTCAGCACCTCTCACGGCGGGTGGGATGCGTTGGAATGGGAGTCGATGGTTGCGGACCCGTAAGGACTAGTGCCCTAACCACACAGTTTTAGCGACGAAGCTGGAGTGATCCAGTTACGTGCGGACCTTACAATTTTCCCCGTGGAATCCCTCCTACTACTCGGGCCAATCCCGGGGTTTGCCTTTAAGGAGAAGCAGCACTATCGACTCATTCACATGCAGAAGTGCTGCTTCATTCTGTTCGGCAACAAACAGCAGAGGCCGAAAAGATGGAAAGATACAAGCGCGCTTCACTGGCGATACACAACTCTCGATCGCTTTTTGTCGAGAAAATATTTGCTGTAGAACCGAGGTTGAATAGCCAAAGCAACCACATTCATCAATGGTAGGATGCCGTTGAATTTTGACGATTCATGTGTTAAGATCAGCAAGGACGTGGATTCTAGTAAACGCATTAAGACTTTGATCCAACCCCTACTTTAGGAGCAAGCCTAGTGTTGCTAGCAGGACAGTGCCACAGTCCACGGGGCCATGCTCGTTCAAGGCAGGTGCGAGCTGCGCCCGAATTCGACGTCACGAGGAATGGCCTTCCTGCTCTCCTAATCTTAATCACTCAGACTCGGGTCCTTGATTGAGGGCACAGCATGTCGAGCTCGTCGTAGAATCTGGAACCATTGCAAGCAGCATCACAGGAAGCCTGGGAAGAATTGGACAAGGAACACCCGAGTGCAACGTGCGAATGGTTTAGGAGGAGACTCCGGGCCTGTATTCGTGCAGGTGGAGGTCATTTTGAAATCTGGTCGTTGCATATTGTTGTGTATGATGTTAGCATAATCATGTTTATATTCAATTACCATTCCGTGTCCAATAGTTTAAAATACATTGCAATAATTAGGCGCAAGTAATTTTGGGACACCTTGTATTTTCGTGCACAAAACAATAGGAGATATTTTCATTATTCTATATTCTATTATTCTTCTATTCTCATTACATTTCTATATAAATAGATATTCTTATTTTATGGCAATTCCATCACCACGGTATTATGCTGATAAGGGAATAGGAGGAAGGGTGAGTTGGTCACAAGCATGCGATGCATGCCAATACCCAGGACAACATCATGGGAGAACCGCTCTTCGGTACTCAAAGATAATCTGAAATTACTGCGAATCGTAATACAGCCTACAACCTTTGCATGATTTTGTCGTTATCTTACTACTACCGAATAAACCTCTAAAATTTTAGAAGTGCAGAGGACGGAGTGGTGGCTATGGCTCTTCAGTTTGTATAAAATTTCTGAAGAAGGAGTGTTTGTGAGCAACTATTAAAGCAACAGTCCCGGCTTGGTTTTTTCCCCCAACTATAATAAAATGGAACGATGCGCTAGCCCTAGTCAAGAACATAAGAAGTGTGTGTGTGTGAGTGAACAAAAACTTACCATAAAAAGCAGCTAGAAAGGGAGCTGAACGGCGTCGAAGTGGGCGTGGTTGCTCACTCGGCTGCGATCCCCTGGATCAACTTCCAACCACGCCCAATACGAAACCGTTCAGCTCCCTTCCCAACGCCTTTCGAAAGTGATTTTGACCAATCACACTTTTATGCTCTTAACTAGGGCTAGCGCAACGTTCTACGCCGTTAGTATTGGAGGTAAAAACCCTGCTGAGACTACTGCTTCAAGCACTTTAGCTGACTGCCTTACCCAGTTTGCAAAGAACAAGTGATTTTTTTCTACTCTCGAGGGGCATGAGATCCCGTGTTTGCTAGAACTCGGCATTATACTCATCATTGAACTCATCTAACATTGTGAGTTCATTGCTAAAGCTTTCAGCCTCAGCCCGACTGCCGATATCGGCTAACCGGCTTAACATGTTATACGTGTGAGTGACGACAACCTATTTCAAGTGTGCTATGAAAAGCTGAGTTGGAATGGAATCGTGCCCTAGTAGCGTAACTGGTAGCGCACTTGTCCGGAAAGCGAGAGGTGCGGGTCCTAGCCCCGCCTGGGCGAAAATTTTGCCCACAACCCAGCATTCTTGTGAATCATCTAGCATGGTCGGAATTAATACCGTTTTTTCCTCTTGATCCATTATTTATCTTTTTACTTCTTTTCATACGTCCAGTGGATGCGCTTAGTAGATGTACAAAGCACTTTGAAGCAGAAATACTATAAGCAACCAAGAAGACAGCAGTCGTAGTCACTTATCTCCATGACAATTAGTATTGGGTGGTACGTAACGATTGACTTGATATTATCCCAAGAAAAGATATGAGAAAGGAGTCTGTTCAAATCGAGTTCTTTCAATACTCAAGTTTATGTTACACACTAGATCCGTGAGTTTCTATATAGAATTGGAGGCAAAAGAGCATCGCCTGAAGCCAACAGGCTTGCGCCTTGAACATAACCCAACTACGAGGCCACAGCCCTACTGGGGCGGGTAAAGACACCTCTTTGATTCAAGTACGAGTCCCAGGGATTGACTCGGGGTGTTTGCGAGGACAACTAATCTTTGGTGAAATGAATAATTTGGGCTACTCTTGAGAATGGACTGGTGAGCTCTATGTGAATTCAGCAAATTTTGTTTAAATAGTATCAACGGCTAGTGTACACCTTTCCATCAATCCGATCAAAACAAAATCTTGAGCAGTACTTTATTGAAATCCCCAACGTATCAAGAGGAAAACTAACTAAGTCAATCGCACTATTATGATTAAGAAAAGTGGAGAATACTGGCTCTATACGCGAACGTATTCAATAGTGAAGACTACGCTATTAGCCTACATATATCACAAATATGCCCACGCCCTCAACTCACTCACATTTATTAGTTTAGAAAGAAAGTTCTGCAACACTCTTTCTAAAATTTTCTTTCTTTCTGAAATAATCATAGGTAACATTTACGAGTAACAAAAGGTAGAGCATTCTCGAGGCTTTAATCCACGGGGTGGATATAAGTGCTGCAGTCAGTAGTTATCCAAGAAAATTCAAAAAATCTCGACCACTAGCAAATCCATACTCCAAGTCTCTGTCTAGTACAAATGTCTTCAGAAATATGGATTCGTGTCAAAGACCAACACTATCTGCAATAGATTCAGTAGGCATGCCGTCACCGCTACAGCGTGTTTCATCTTTACCAGCGCTTTCGATCTTTTGATATTTTTATAAGGAGCCAGCAGCGTCAAGCATACTTCATTACAAATAGGGTTCTTACAGAAGCTCCATTACGAATTCTTCGTTATGGGCATCATTTTTTAGCTAGAGGTCTGGGCTGCGAAACACCAAAAGTTGGCCCGGGCAGCCAGTCGGGAGCCCTCGTACCGCGACAATATTTATTTCTTTCATGAGATCGCGAATCACCTGATCCGAAATGACCTCGGTAACAAATTTTGGGGCTACGGTAAGATTTCTCCCCTCCCTTAGCGTATTCCCCTGGTCGAGCTATAAATGGCTGCCACCTATCCTAGACCTTAAGTCATCATCTTGATGACGAAATAATCAGACGACCAACTCCAACTCAAAAGTGAGGTCGCCTCCTTTCTCGGTCCGCACTCCGCTGGGTTTTGGCGAAGGAGCATCAAGAAATTTGCCTTGAAGACAAGTGATGGATACTCATGGTAAATTTCAGGCGTTTCAGAAAGTTCTGTCGTTTTTCGACACCGAATCTCAAATGCATGTATCTCGGTTTGAACCAAGCCTTTCGAGTTGAAATAAGAACCGTTCGAATGCGCTAACCTTTCGCTATAAGATGCCGTCCGAGTTGGTACATTTGCCCAGAATGCTGCAGCTCTGGAGGCGATGAACTGAGGAAAGGTCGTTCAGCATCGGATTGTGTTTTGACCCATTTCTCTTTACGGGAGCCATCGAGACCCTTGTAAAGGTGACAGTTGATAGACATGAGGTCTATTTAGTAAGACGTTTGCAGTATCACTCCGTAACCCAGCTGGTCCAACTTGTGCAGGGTTCGCTGTGTGATGTGTGATGTCCAAGATAATTTTCAGGGATAAGTTCGTTCTTTTATAATGAAATGCTGGCATGTCTTGAAGTTTTTGATGAATTTTGACGTGATCTTAATAGTGCTTTCTCACTGTAACAGAACAGTCCCACTTTCTCACTGTGCTGAAGAACATGGCCAACCGCTCATGAAAGCTGCCATAACCCTCCTTCAGCACAGTTTAAGTTCTGGAAAGTTTGTAGAGCTTGGTCGCTGTCGAGCTATCCAGCCAAGCTTCGCGGGCTGTAGAAAAGAACCTCTTCTTCATTGTTCGTCGCAATTCAGCAGAAAAGCGAATCTCTTTTATTACACAAAACAACCTAGAAATTGATGAACGACCCTTCAAATTGGTAGTTTGTCGCAGCACGCTCCAATCAAATTTTTTAGACTTTCCAACTACTTCCTCAAGCTTGGCTCTACAAACCATACATATACATCCAGACTGGGCAAAACCTCCTCAACGGTCCTACGCACGAGTGCCTCTACCAAAACTTTTGGCTACTCGGTGACAAAGTCCGATATCCTACCACCTCTCTCACCATATCCAAGGCTCTAGCTTTCGTCACAGTAGCTTTTTGGACAACTGCTTCAAAGTATATATACGATTCTGAGCCAAGTGTATTGTTAATATCTTGGACAGTTGCCGCTACTTTCAGGTCTATTTCATGCTATAAACAGAAAATCGTGCCAACTTGCTCATCGAGTATACCGCATTTAAAGGTCTAAAAACTAATAAGAAAATATTCCGAAGCAAAGACGAGCTCAGCTTTGGATAGTGCTGGAAAAGCTCTCCAAGATGATATCCATAACTATTGCAGTTTCGCTAGATTTCAATTGAGAAGCATTCAAATGTGGAGTATCGGAAATCGACAGAACTTTCTGAAACACCTAAGATAAGACCGGACAGGAGCTGTAAGCAAAAACGATGAAATCAAAATCGAAAATTTGAAAAATTATTGCAGGACTTTGTTTTCAACCTAATATATACAAAAAAGGAAGCTTTTACACAAGCTTTGAAAATATGCTGTTTATTACCTCCTAGCACACTACGATATTATGGAAAAATTCCAACATTCAATTCTCAAAACATTTTGATTCATTGTTATACATCGTGAACTTTTTATAGATCTCATAAAATGTGGTAATAACTCTTAAAATTACACTGCTTTTCTTAAGTCAAGTCTAGTCTCATGGCAACGTCTAGAATTCAAAAGCGTGGCATTTTATGGCTTCATATCCAGCTAGTTTTTGGTTTAGAGAGCGAAGCACTTGTGTGAAAAATCCCTATAGGCAACGATTTTTGGATTATGTTTTGATATCCAAGGCTAAATATTTTTGCGCACGAGCACAAGGGCCGCTTTCATTGCTAGGCGAAGAATATGTCTGCTTTCGTGAGTCGTTGCGGAACTCTGAGTGGCTGTTCATCTAATTGTCGGCATTAGAGCATCTCGCTAAGAAATCAATGCCTCGTCGCGTCTTTTGTGTCATGCAGCCTTCTAATTGACCGTCTTGTTGACCCCACTTGAACTCATATTATATTTCCACTTGTCACACCAATTCTCATCCCATAGCACCTTGCCTTTTATTTAAAAAAGCCAAAAATTTACATGAATTATAAACGGACATGATGTCATAGTATGGATTTCCTTGAGATAAATCTGCTTTACGGGAGAGATTTTAGTTGACATAGGAAGCGTTTCGGATAACTCTAATTGCTTATTACAAACGCCAAAGACGAGATAATAATTTATCGTTATATTACTAACTAGTAATAATAATTCCCCCTCACCAGATTATCGGACAAAAAATTTACCTTATAATGCTATGGAAAAAATTATGACGAGTGCATCTCCTTAACTTCGCTCTTATCGCAGTCCTGGCATTTCCTCTAGCTCAGTAAATGCTTCCGAAATTTCTTTGCAAAACGTTTCCCCAGAATTTTGTGAACACTATTTTTGTTACAGAAGAACCGATATTTTTTATGTTTTTATGGTCTCTATATAAAGCTGAGTTCGTTTTCCAGAGCCTTGTCAATGTTCGAGAGCAGTTATTATAGCAGTACCTTAGCTTACAAATTATATG